CCCTCAGCAGGCTGAGAAGAGCAGCCCGTGCGAGAGACTCTGCGCGAACGCGACTCGCCCGGAGACGGGTCCTGGTACCGTCCGGTGACCTCGTTGCCGCCAAGGCCAACCGGAGGGTAAGGACGGTTGAGTCGGACGGCCGACGAGCGCTCGCGAGCTGTGATGAGATGGAGCACAGCCTCTCCTCGCGCTCCCACACTCATACCCGATTCTCTCTCTCTCTCTCTCTCTCTGTCTCTGTCTCTCTCTTTCTTTCTCTGTCTCTCTGTCTGTCTCTCTCTCTCTCTCTCTCTCTCTCTCTCTCTCTCTCTCTCTCTCTCTCTCTCTCTCTCTCTCTCTCTCTCTCTCTCCGTTTCTCTCATCTCATCCCCGAGAACCCCTCTAACCACCGTCTCCGGTCCGTCCGCGTCCGAGTGACTGCAATTTTCATTGCGTCGTCGCGTGTCTCGTCGCGATTCTCGTCCGCTCGGAGGTGGACCTTGACCTACCACCGGACTGTAGCGACCGCTTTCTTCTCGTACACCCACCGCTCCCTGATAACCGTCGTCTCAATTGGGATCGCGTCTGTCTAAATTGGGTTACGGCTAGCTTTCGCCGCAGACGGCGCTCGAGTCGCGCGCGCGCGGGCGCGCGCGCGCACGCGCGCGCAAAGGGCGCGCGTGAAAGTACACGTGAACGACGGACGGTCGTCCCTGTGGAGCGTGCGTTCCGTCGGAAACGAGTGTAGAGAGCTCGAGAGGTGTGTACCTCGAGCCCCCTCCACCGTGTATTACCGTGTGTGTAGTCCGGGTTTACTTACTAACGTTCCTCTCACCCGCCCGCCGTGGAATACCGCCGATGAACGTGCGACCGCTTTCGTTGCAGACGTGAGCCCGCACCTCATCTTCAAGAATGGGATGACGCCGACGCTCTGGCCGCAGGACGTGCCGTTCCCTCCCGAGGAGGGTAAGGAGGAGGTGGCGTCGACCTTCGGCGACACGGACACGCAGTCGGGCGCGTTCAGCCCGGCGCCGGACGCCAACTCCATGCAGTACCCGGCTTACTTCAAGGACCCGAAGGGCGGCAGTCACGCGGTCTTCGGCGCGGCCGGCACCGGCAGCTTCGGCGCGCTGCAGTACATCAAGCAGCAAGGCGGCACGAAGAGCTGCCTGCCGGACGTCATACAGCACGGCCGCTCGGCCGGCATGCCGCTCTACGTGCGCTGCCCGATCTGCCAGAAGGAGTTCAAGCAGAAGTCGACGCTGCTCCAGCACGGCTGCATACACATCGAGTCCCGTCCGTATCCGTGTCCGGAGTGCGGCAAGAGATTTCGCCAGCAGTCGCACCTCACGCAGCACCTGCGCATCCACACGAACGAGAAGCCGTACGGCTGCATGTACTGCGGCCGCAACTTCCGCCAGCGCACGATCCTCAATCAGCATCTGCGCATCCACACCGGCGAGAAGCCGTACAAGTGTCAGCAGTGCGGCAAGGACTTCCGTCAGAAGGCGATCCTGGACCAGCACACGCGCACCCACCAGGGCGACCGGCCGTTCTGCTGCCCGATGCCCAACTGCAGGCGGCGCTTCGCCACCGAGCCCGAGGTGAAGAAGCACATCGACAACCACATGAACCCGCACGCGGCCAAGGTGCGCCGGAACTCGAGCGGCGGCGCCGCCGGCGACAGCAAGCCGCCCGGCACGCCGGTCAGTTTAGGCCCGGTCACGGTGCCGCGCGGCCTCACGCCCACAGTGGTGAAGCCGGAGCTCTACTTCCCGCAGTGTTACGCGCCCGCGTTCAACCATCAGCCGCCGGTGTCGAGCGCGCAGTTCCCCGGCCAGGCGAACGGCGTGTCCGTCACCGGCGAGTTCAAGCCGCCGACCGGCCTGCCGCCGCAGTGACTAACCGTCCATCCTGCCGCCTACTAGCAAGCAGGAATCTCCGCGCTGAGGTTTCAGCGCTGCTTCGGTCCCGCGCTCACGGCTCCGGAGGCCGCCGCCAGCGTCACGTCGAACAACAACAACAACAACAACAACAACAACAACAACAACAACAACAACAACAACAACGCCGCCGCCGCCACCGCCGCCGTCGTCGCCGCAGCCGCCGTCGCCAACGGCAGCGGCAGCAGCGCGGCCGCCGTCGCCGCAGCCGCCGCCGCCGCCGTCGCCTCCGTCACGTCGCCGCCGTCGACGTCGTCGTCCTCGTCCTCGTCGTCGCCGTCGTCGTCGTCGTCGTCGTCATCCCAGCAACGGTGCAACGGCGGCCCGCAGCCGATCCATCAGCAACACTACCCGTGACATTTGTCGTGCATTTACTAGAGTCTTTTTGGTTTCCGTCGTTCTTTCGTAACTCGCTCGCACTTCTTGTTCCATTGCTTGACGGAGCCTCGGAACGCGTCGCCAGCTAGCCCCGACAGCTCGACGGTGAGAATGGCGGTCGGTTCTTTCCGGTCGGTGTCGCGGCTCGCGTGTGCGTCTTCTCCCGAGCGGTCGCCCGAGGATCCCCGTCGTCGTCGTCGTCGTCGTCGTCGTCACCTCAGGACGTCCGCCGCTCCGTCTCTCTGCTTCGTCGTACCTCGCCGGCGTCGGAGGGTCGTCTCGTCCGATGGTAACCGGATGTCTGTCTCTCTCTTTCCCTCTCTCTCTCTCTTTCTCTGTCCGCATTTCACTAGCCGTCATCGGCCGCAAGAAGTGAGGAGGAAAGGGGGATGCAGGCCCGTTGCCCGCGGACAGTGACGACCGGTCGACTCTGGAAGGTCGACCTCGCGAAGGACGCGCGTCGACGCGCGAAAGGCGACCAGGATGGCCTCGACGACGGGCTCCCTCGCGGTCGCTCGGCCAGGCGGAAGGATACCGAGCGACGGCCGGTTCTGCTCCGTCGTCTCCCGGGTGGTCGGTTTCACCCTCTCCGCAGGTATCACCCTCGCCAGTCAGACTCGCTCGGGGGTGGTTTCCGCTCGCGGTAGACCGCGACCGCGAATATTGCTTTCTCGGCACCGACCCCCTGCGAGGGTCCCTCCAGGCTCAGTCGGCCGTTGTCGTCGCTCGTGTCCCGACACGCTCGGATTAGCCCGCCAGCGCTAATACCGATCGCGCTCCGATTCTTCTCGCCCCCTCCCACGGCTAGTCGTCGATCTCGACGCGTGAAGGACGACGGGCGAAAGAGGGGGAGAGAGCGGGAAGGAGATGCCGTCGCCGTCGTCGCCGCCGCCGTCACCGCCGCCGCCGCCGCCGCCGTCGCCGCCGCCGCCGCCGTCGCCGCCGCTCTCGCCGTCGAGCTTCTTCTCGCTAGCCAGAACCAAGGTAAAGTAACCAACGAAAAGTCTCGTCTACTCCCCCGTACGTATTTTTTATATGTGTCGATCGATTACGACGTACCTTCCCGCGTTTCTTTCGTGGACAAGCGAACGGCACAGGAGGATTCTTCTTCGGGGCTCGCTCCCGCGGGAAGTAGGCGAACACGAGGAGAAATCGATATGGAAGTCCTCTCGCGAGCGAGACGAACGTTCGGGGGCCGACGGGGGAGGGGAGGGGGGGAGGGGCTCGCGGGGCGAATTCTCGTGAATTCCTTCGGATCCGCTTATCTTTCGCGGGGCGGTGCACGCGCCAGCCGGGGCGCCGCGTCGCGCTCACCGTTGAGAACGCGTATCGCCAAACGGGTTGAAGATGTTCGATTTCGACCAGACTAAAACGATTGTGATACAATATTTAACTTGCCTATGTTTTAAAAGATTTGCGGGAGTGATAGAGAGGGAGAGAGTCAGGGAGAGAGCAAGAGGGAGAGTGTGCGCTTGTGGTGCGAGTGCGTGCGTGCGTGTGAGAATGAACGTGTGAGAGCGAGTGAGAGAGGGCTGGGGAGGGGGGAAGGGGGAAGAGATATGTTGCTTCCCCAAAGGGAACGCGTTCACACGACCATGAGAAGAATGCCTGTAAATAATGTAAAGTCGTTCACTCTAAACAAAGAAGAGCAGGAAGAAGACGAAGAAGAAGAAGAAGAAGAAGAAGAAGAAGAAGAAGAAGAAGAAGAAGAGGAAGAAGAGGAGAGGAGGAGGAGGAGGAAGAGGCAGAAGAAGCAGACGACGAAGATGAAGGAGCAGCAGCAGCAGCAGCAGCAGCAGCAGCAGGAGGAGGAGGTCGTGGACGAGGGAAGCGACGGAGAAAGGTGAAGTATGCGAGTGCGTGCGAATGAGGCTGAGCGTGAATGACGCGGGAGAAAGAGAAGCGTGCGCGACTGAGTGAGCGAGTGAGTAGCGCGAGAGAGCGCGAGAGAATCTCCATGGGGGACCGGGGACGGGTCGGGTGGGGTGGGGCTGGGGGGCTGGGGGCTGAGAGGTAGACGACGAGATACGGGAAAGAGAGGAAAGGTACGAGAAATTATAGATAGGATTTACGAGGACGACGTATCCTCCCCGCCTGCGCCGAGCCATAGCTTTTCGGGTAGATTCGCGTCAAGTACGACCGCGTGTAACCGCGCGCGCGAGCACAGAAGAGCGCGAGCAGGGGAGGGAGACGCGCGACTCTTGTATACTATAGTAATATTTGAATGTATATTTATACGACAGGTTATATTATTCTAATTATATGACGATATTTTGAATCGGTTTTAAAAATCAGATTGGTGCTGATAAAAAAAAATACACTAGGTAAGGGCGTACGAAAAAAAAAAAAAAGTGGAGGGAACGTGGAAGAAGGCTGAGACACCGTAGAAGTTAGCGTTTAACGGTAACAAGAAAAAAAATACCGTAGGGTATAGCCGATAGCATAGCTCAAAGTAAAGAAAAGACTTCGAAGGGCCCCGCTCTGGGGGGGGGGGCTGGGGGAGGGGGCCCGCTCGCATCTTTCGGAGAATTATCATCATCACCTTTTCGAAAGTGGTGAGGAGAAACGAAAGCGGGAAGGAGGGAAAGTGAAGAGGGGCGGAGGGGGGGGGAAGGAGGGAAAAGACAGAGAGGAGACGCAGGAGACACTTTGTTGCAATACTTAAACGAGGGGAGGAAAAGCACGAGGAGGTGCGGAGAGTGGGTGAATGAGCAGGGAGGGAGGGAGGGGGGAGGAGGAGGACGGTTTCAACGTACTAGAGAATAATCTTTTAAAATTTCTATATTAAGACGTGTGATCTCTCTAATTATTGTACATTACATAATGAGTCTATAGACGAGACGAGATGCGTAAGTATAATTATAACGATTACGTACGTATTAGGCGTTCTACAGTTAGTCTTTTATCATTTAGTGACACAGAGATCTGAAGATGATAATTATGCGGCCATATTCTCTGTGGCCTGTTCGTAGTGCCTCGGAATTGCTGCTCGCGGCAGTGATTTGACCGTATATTTTAGGAAGGTATATTATATTATATTGAGGAGCCGCAATTATATCGATACTCTCTCCGATATACGCAGTAATAGTGTGAGAGAGAGAGAGAGAGAGGGGGGGAGAGAGAAAGAGTGAGGAGGGGGGGGGGAAGAAGAAAAGAATCGAACGGGGGGAGTCGCGTCGTGAGGCGTCGCGTTAAACGACTCATTAAATTATTATAATTGACGAAAGAAGAATCTACTTATTATAAAACGCGCGTGTCCTATAGGAGGAGGGGGAGGGGGGCGCCGAGGAAAGCCGTGAGAACGAAATGACGACGACGACGACGACGACGACGACGATATGATCGTAGTGGTTGTTCGCTGTTGTTTATTTTTTCCTTTTCGTTCTTCTCTCTCTTTTTCCTTTTCTTTCTCGTTCGTTCGTCTTTTACCGCTGTCTTTCTCTCGTTCGTTGCGTCAAACGCGAAGTTACGATCGAGAAACGGAGACGGAAGCGCGCGCGCCAGCGGGGCACAGCGTGGGCCGCCGCCGGCTGGCCGAATTGTAATTTTCGCGAGTATTATTATTACCGAACGTCGAGGGTGCGATTCTTACACACGTAGCGCGAGTATACTCCCGAGAATATTTTCGTCGTTCTCGCGGCACGACGATGAAAAACGCGAGCGTGCTCGTTACGACACGCCTGACGAGTCCTCCTCCCGCTCGAGTCGCACTCGACACGTCGACTTTCGTTCCGTATGCCTTCGTACGTATGTAAAAAGAAAGAGAAAAGGGGACGCCTTGAAGGGGAGGGGGGGGGAGAGTAGAGAAGAGAGGAGAGGAAGAGAGAGGAGAGGAAGAAGAAGAAGAAGTAAAAGTAGAAGATATCATATGCTCGTTACGTTTCTCGCCGACACGGTAAACGATAAGGTCGCGTCGAGAGTCGTCGAGAGGCCGGCGGGGCGGATCTATAACGAATGAGAGAGTGTGCGATGAGAGAGAGAAAGAGAGAGAGAGAGAGAGAGAGAGAGGAATTAGGAGATCGCGGAAACAGGAGCGAGGCGCGCCGAGGCGACTCCGAGGCGGTCTTTAATAATGACGGCCTGTTTCGCCGTTGCCGCGGCCGAGAGCGGCGCTCTTCAATCGTGACGAGCCGATGCCGACGACGACGACGTTCACGTCGTCGGGCGTTTAACGTGCTCGACGGGCGATACCGCGCGCGAATGGCTCACGATATCTCGCGAGGGGCGTCGAAGGATCCCTCCTCGGAGGAGCGCGATCCTCCCGCGCAATATCACTCAAGGCTTCGCGAGCCGCGGCTCGATCGCGGGAGGAACGATCTCTCAAGTGCAATCGGGACGGTGGAAAGTATTCGCGTTTCTTTTCCCCGCCTTTTCTTCTTCTCCTCTCGCTTTTTGCCCTCCTTCTTTCCCCCTTTCTTCTTTGCACTCTTGAGCGGTAATCGAGTGTGTCTAGCAGTTTCGCGGTTGTCGACCGTCAGCCCGGGCACGATGATAATTCACTTTTACCGGCGAACATCTGTCCTCATTTGCATGTTTCACTCGTTATCGGATGCGGAGTATTTTTATCGATCAGATAAATGCCGATGTCCGCGCGAGCGCGCGCGCGCGCGCAAGATACGTTTCTTGTCTTTCATGAATAATATATTAGCGATTGATATTGCCAGAAAAACAAGCGGACCGGAGCAAAAAGCCCGTGCCGCCGGATACAATGGCACCATCCTCTTTATTACTGATGCTATAGTTGTTATTGAGGAAACATTCGCGACGCTTGTTCTTACGAGCGTCGATTTTTCAGACAGACAGAGAGAGAGAGAGAGAGAGAGTGAGTGAGATTGAGAATTCGCATTTTTCCCCGTTGACACTCATAATACGAGGAAAACTTCACTCCCTCGCGGTTCTCGCGAGACCGTCCTGCATTTTTTACGTCTCACCGCATTGTTTCTGCACTCTCGCGACTTAATCAAAGTTTCACTCGATGCTCTTTCTTCGACAACACCGAGAGACGCGGCGATATCTTTCTCCTCCGCTCGAGGTCCCGTCGACCAACCGGGCCGGTGTTTTCGGCACGGCGCTTGTTGCTGTGTCCGGTGTGCGATTTCAGTCGGACCGTCGTCGAGGATCTTGTCGACGAAGGTCTCGGTGCCAGCGCGGCATTCTCGAACGGCAAAACTCTCGCCGCGGGCGAACGCCGCGCGCTAATGTCGGCGGAGCGCGCGGGCCGCGGGGAGAGTTTTCCTCGAGGAGCGAGTAAGAGATGGAGAGAGAGAGAGAGAGAGAGAGAGAGAGAAAGATCGGTGGGACCGCAATAGAGGAGGGAAAAGCACACAAGACATCATCTCGGGCTCGGTCTTACGTGCACGCGGCCGGTTGTACTTTAAAGTTATCATGGAAGCGACCGATTGCACACAAACACACACACACATACACGCGCACACGTACATTTATGGAAGACATGCACACATGCACACACATACGCGCGCACGTCAATCTTAGAGAGAGAGAGAGAGAGAGAGAGGGGAGGGAAGGAGAGACATGCACGCACACGCCTCTCCCGACGTGATCTTCTTTCCCTCCGCTGAGTCAAGACAAATTGTTATATCGAAGCGAATATTGCGTTAAACAATCGTGTAAAGCGAAGGAATGCGACATTTGGCGAGGAAGATGATAACTGTTGTAGACAAAGTGTAGATAAACGTGCAGATATTTGTTTTCTTTATTATTATGATTATTATTATTATTATTATTATTATTATTATTACTATTATTACTATTATTATTGTTAGTACTACTACTACTACTACTACGATTACTGCTCGGCGTACTCGAATTGTGCATCATTATATCCTATTTTATTATTTTATTAATATTATATATTGCTATTTTATACATATATATATATAATTATTATAATTATTATTATATTATTATTAAGTTTACAAGAGAGATATCGCATATGGTGCATCTTTTTTTTTTTTAGCTAGTACCATCGTATGATATTTTGATCACCTCTGTTTTTTTTTTTTTTTATTTTTTTACTACGCTGTATCCCGTCGACTGTACGGGACTTTTCCTCTCTCTCTGTTTTCGTATATCCGACATTGTAGGAGCCTCCCTTTATTTTTTGTTCTTTCTCGTTTTTTGTTTATACATTATTGTTAATCGACTACTAGTGCTTATGCTTATTTTATACTCAATCTCGCAGTCACAAAATCCGCCGTGTGATATGTAATACGTATACTCGAGTGTCGCGACGACGAGAGGAAGCGCGATGTCGGATTGGTGTTTAATCTCTTTTTTTATATATATATATATATATATATATATATATTATATATATAAATATATATTTTATACGCATATTGCAAAATGTACTTTGCAAGAGAGAGGCCGAGAGCTGCTTTCCGGCCGAATGACAGGGACGTTACTTTATACTTTAAGTTCCGCGCGCGCGCGCGCGCGCGAGAGAGAGAGACCGCGAAACTCGTCGCGAACTGCTGCCGCGAGCAGGGGCGGATTTAAGCGAAAACTAATGAAAACCCAAGAACGGCGTTAAGCGAGAGACCGCGGGATAACTTGGCCGAGGAATATACGTCGACCTCAGCGCGCGAGTTTGGTCGGGCGAGCGATAAGGGAAGGACGGAGGGGCGAGGGACGGGCGGATTTTTAAAGGGGGGGAGTACATGAAATTCTTCACCCGCGATCGTTTTATTCCCTCACGCGGATTACGTCAAATATTCCGGGCCCGTTAATTCCAAGAGCAAAAGGACGCGCATGTAACGGGTGTCACGTATTTCCGTCCTCCACGGGCCGCGTGTGTGACAACACGTAGGACCGGGCGGGGAGGGACGGGCGGGTGTTCCTTTCTTTCGATTTTTGCCGCCTGCTTGTCGGTGTATTCTAAATATTATTGCCTTCGGGCCCCGAAAAATATCGCCATCCCGCCCCTGCCTGCGAGCGAAACTGGTTCGGGTGGTTAGACGACGGCGCGTCGGAACCTTGCGCGCGGTGCCATTTCGATCGGCGAGAGAGAGAGAGAGAGAGAGAGAGAGAGAGAGAGAGAGAGAGAGAGAGAGAGAGAGATGGGGGCAGGCGGCAGGAGTGCGAGAGGGAGAGAGAGCGTGTGTATTAAGTAAAATCAGCGATATACTGTGATAACGACCGCTAACGACGAGCAACATCCGCTTAATTTCATCCTACGATCCTACGTCGGGAATTACGCCCGCCGTCAGCCGGCTTTCTCGAGTCGAATATCGCGATTATCTCGGCCGAGCGCCGTTGCCGTCGTCGCTCTCTCCCTCCCTCCCTCTCTCTCTCTCTCTCTCTCTCTCTCTCTCTCTCTCTCTCTCTCTCTCTCTCCGTATCAAAGACGGAGGAGAGTCGCCACGTGGCCGTCGATCGATTTACTATTTTGCAATAACGGTCCTCGTCTGTCACCCGGCCGGCTCTCCTTCGTTTGTTCGTCACTTGTTGCGTTTCCGGAATGCGGCCGGCCGGCCGATCGGTTTTCCTCGTGCGTCATCATCGACGACGACCCGACGAAATTCCGCGGAGGCAGCGACGCTCGCGACGAGTCTCGCGGCTCTCGGCAGCGCGCGCGCCATCGTGTATCCCGTATACGTAAAGGAAGAGAAACGACACAGCAGCGATACCTTGTCTCTTCCCCCTCGATTACACATATTTCTCCCCCCCCCCTCCTGTCC